ATTAACAATTTTCTAGGTGTAAACTTTTTTTTTACTCACCCGGTATTGATATCCCCCCCCCCCTCTCTCTCTCTGTCTCTTACTCTATCTCTGTCTCTCTGCTCTCTCTCTCTCTCTCTCTCTCTCTCTTTCTGTGTGCCGCATTATTGAAATATGCCTATTAAAAACGGGGAAGTATTTTGTTTGTCCAAAATGATTGCGTGTGTGCTGTGAAATAAATCCAATGAATATTGGAAAGTGTGTGTATAGGCGGTGTCACACAGAGGCCAAAAATCCGGATTTTAGTTATCCTCTTTATTGCTGTCTGTCATTAACTATCCCCTTAAAAAATCCTCTAACGCAGCAAGAAAGTTCTCCCTTGAAAGGATTTTTCAAGGGATTTTTTAAGGGATTTTTCTGTGTGACACCGCCTTATACGCACAAAATTCTACCAAAAGAAGAGTGAGTGTCAGGCGCGCCGGAAGCAGTTTGGGATTGGGGGGGGGGGGCAAACATTCCAGGGGGCTCACCTTCCAGGGGCAGATGACGTAATGAGAAAAAACATTCGGAAGGAGGGGGGGGGGGGGCAGACGAAAAATCTGCATCACCACCAGTCTTACATGTTACATGCAGGTCCCGCGGAACGTTTTTTAAAGTGGAGTATTAACGATCAGGCAGAGCGTAAACTGGCGTGGGGTCCAGGGCATGAGCCTCGGAAGCTCTGGGGTTTTAGGTATTTAATTACGGTCAGATGAGCATCCAGGGCCCTCTTTAAGGTCATTGACGTGTTCCAGGGAGGGGGAGAGCCCCCAGAAGCTCAGGGGTTTTAGGTATTTAATTACGGTCAGTTGAGCATCCAGGGGCCCACCTTAGGGCCTTGGTGGGGTCCAGGGGACTGAGCCCCGGAAGCTCAGGGGTTTTAGGTATTTAATTACGGTCAGATGAGCATCCAGGGGCCCGCCTTAGGGCCCTTGGTGAGGTCCAGGGTACTGAGCCCCCGGAAGCTCAGGGGTTTTGGGTATTTAATTACGGTCAGATGAGCATCCAGGGGGCAGAGCCCCCGGAAGCTCAGGGGTTTTAGGTATTTAATTACGTCAGATGAGCATCCAGGAGGCAGAGCCCCCGGAAGCTTAGGGGTTTTAGGTATTTAATTACGGTCAGATGAGCATCCAGGGGACCTCCTTACGGCCCTTGGTGGGGCTCGGGGGCAGAGCCCCCGTAAGCTCTGGGGTTTTAGGCATTTAATTACGGTCACGTACATGAGCATTTTTTATACCTTATTTGTGACATTGGCAGGTCACTTATTTTTCTCTCCGTCTTTCTTTCTCTTTTTCTTTAACAAACTTTTTCAAAAAGTGAGGGGGGGGGGAGCTCGAGCCCAGCCACTTTGCACACCATGACATAAAGGCTTCTAAATAAGCGAATTTTTCGCCAGACTGTAATTTGGAATTTCTTATTTTCCAACAAACGCATAACAAGGTACGACTTACAAAAAAATGGAGAAAAAATACCTGGAAATCATGTCATAATAGCAACATTTGTAACCATTGATATCGAATAAGAAATACACCCCCCCCCCCCCATCAGTACGCCATCGTTCAGGGGCTCATGTCTTCTCAAACCTATAACCAAAAAACAGACACGCTTTCCCATTCTCGCACAATATGTCCACGATATGCGCGTATCGCTATTATAAAGACCTCCATTGATAAATACGGTATAGGTGGCATGCGCAATGTTTATGAAATTTAATTCCTGTGAACTTTCCTTTTCTTTGAATGGAATTGTATATGCATGTGTTTTAATTCAGGTTTTTATTATTGTTATATTTTGGGTTAAAAATACAAACCATGTTTACTCCTTTACTGTGACACCACCGGTGGACAAGCATTTGCAAGGCTTGTTCACAGGCATAATAGGAATATTATCGATAGTTCGCCACGAGGGATTGGGGGAACCCAAATCCACAAATTTGAGGAAAAAAAACAAAACAAAACAAAACAAAACAAAACAAACTCGAGTACACTGAATAATAGTAAAACCGAGATTGGTGAGCAAAAAAACAGAAAACACTCGCAGTATACCATTACTCATATTTATTTTGTTAGTACTGTGTAGCAATTTGCGTACTGTTGAGCAATATTAATTTTGAAATTAGATTCATAAAAAAAGGATTTCAGCTATCAAATGCATCATACTCATGCACAAGAATAATCCTTCTTGGCATAGTTCATAATTATACGAGAGAGGGAGACAAGTAAAGCTAATGGCACTCGAAACATGAATTCATAACGTAGGACACTCTCATTCCTATACATGTATTTAGTATATGTGGAAACCCATTAATAGTACACCATTAATAGAACTCTTTACTTGTTTATTAAAGAACATTACTAATGACAATACAATGTACCACACCGTATACTTGGAATTGATACACAATAAACAGGTTGTCAACACATGGTTCAAAATATACATATATTGATGCATACAATATATTCACGTAGGTCGATTCATTGAAAACAGATCGCTAATCCACAATGTAATGATCATCTCTATTAGTACTCAGATAATAAATATTTTGCAAATAAATGCATTTAGAAAATCAAGTTAGTTGTTAAAGAGTGTTTAAATAGATTCATTATAAATGAAAACAAAATGAATACAGATAAAAACAATTTCAGTTGTTGAATTTAAAATTAAGTGCCGGGAGTTGAAACAAATAATCTAGTATTACAGAGAACTTGCATGTACATAATGTATTATTTCACATTATGTAAAAACTACATTTCCTCACTCACCATTAATTTGGGAGAGATAGAGTCGAGCCGCTCTTATTTCTTTCATTTTTAAGTCAATATTATCATTCCATTTTTAGTAAAAAGTAAAGTGAAAAAGGAAGACACATGAACGATATTTTTTCTGTTACTTTTCAATCGCAATTTGCATTCTTTAAACCGAGATCACATATCTTAGTTGTCATGGACATCAATTGCATAAAAAACTTCGGCTTAATTCTTAAACATGCTCTTCCTTGTTGTTCTTCATCTTGTTCTTCTTTTAATTCCCCTTCCTCTTCTTCTTGTTCTTCGTCTCATTCTTTTTATTGTTCCTTCTTTTTTTCTTCTTCTTGTTCATGTTCCTCCTCCTCCTCCTCCTCCTCCTTCTTCTTTTTTTTTTCTTCTTCTTCTTCTTCTTTCTTTCTTTCCTCTTTGTTTTTGTTATTTTATTCCCCATCCCCTTCTTATTATTGCAGAAATTAACGCAATGTTTTTTCGCCTCCATGTTTATTTTCTTTCCTTACCTACCATATTCACATACTGTATTATTTCTTTAAATGCAGCACACGTTAGTATAACTGATTGCAAAATTGACATATTCACAACACTTATATACAAAGTGAAATACAATACATTAAAAATATATATGTTCATATATGATGAAGAAAACAAATTAAATAAATAAAACATAATATTCACATTGATCAAAATGCATGTATCTACGTAAAATAGGACTTCTTTCGGGTAAAATGACAAGATATATATTTAAAAGAAATACCTACATGTATGTTCTACTACAACATATGCCAAATCCTTCTAAAGGATATTCTAGTACAAACATGTATTGGCATCAAATTACAGGGTTCGTTAATGGAAATACAATGATGATTTAGTTATAATGACATATTTTTTTCTTCAAAGATTTATGCAAATTTGTCCTTTCTGAAGGCAAAGAAGTGCCGTTCATTATGAGGTCATGGGGTCAGCCAACTTTTACATTTAGCGACCACATCTAATTACTATCATATAGCCTACAAAACTGTATATTCAGGCCTATGTAAATTGAAAGGAATGATGTGTACTGCTAAAGGTTACAAAAAAATATGTTGACAAGGGAAGCCTGGGGAAAATCTTTTTTTTTTCATGAACTTATCATGTACAATATTTTAATTTTGGCACCAACTGTTCTCATCAGAAAGAGCAGAGCACTTATAATACCTTAGTTCTCTTGAATAATTGAAAGGTAGAATGATATTTTGAGAATATTGATTTCAACACATAAGATTCAATAAACTCTCTTTTTGTTTGCATATAGCCAAATTGAGTACCCTACCTTTATATGGTTCAATCAATAGGGACATAGAATGATTCAATGCTATGCAAAGGTATTGCTTTACATGCTATCTATTTCCATTATTTATTTTTAGCAATGCAAGGAAGAAAATTTCCTTCAAAGTCCTGTTTCCAACAGCATATTTATCATTAAAGCAGCTAAGCAATTTTGTTCACAGTAATGGTCTTCAGGATGTCTTCATGAAAAGAAATGCATTACCTGCTCACAAAAAAATAATATACGGTTGACACTTTTACATTTTGAATATTCTTACACACGAAAATGGGTTATTTTGAGTTAATTTTATAAAATGCTATTACCTGGAATAGATTAAATATAATACACAAAATATAGGTTATAAGCATGGAATATGAATATTGAGTAATAAATTAAATAGCATGAATTAATACATTTGAAATAATTTAAATGGAATGCATACTGCTCTTCTGGAAATGTTACATATATCAGAACTCAGAATGCAAACTGGATATATGCTTTGGTAAATGAGACGATACATACAAAATATTCTTACAAAAATAAGGGCTATAATAGTGCAAGTATGCTTAAACTTGTCATAGTAGTTACACTGAGTACTGCCTTACATACAAATATAGTGATAACTGTCTCCTGGAATAAATCAACACATATTCTTTTATAAAGAGTTTTTCGTATTTCAATTCTCAACGAAATTCTGTAATATACATGTAGATACACATGAAGCAGTATCATGTGTGACGGAGGTATGCCTTGAATACAAATTCCTGTGATGTTATTTTCATGCAGAGTTTACTCATATATTATGATTTGGGGCTGACTGTCAATAACCTCTTCCTAACCTCAGGTACACCAAGTTGTACATATATGTTTAACCCCCCCCCCCTCCTCCCCCCCCCCCCTCTCTCTCTTCACACACACAAAGTTCTTCTCTCCATATCGCTCTACTTCTCTCCCAACAATATCAAGTAGTCCTCAATAGGACTTAACACTAAAGAACTTATACTTTTTTTTATCCCCTTTCAAACCCAACACTCCTTTTTCAGGACTACCCAAAAGGTTTAACCATAAACCTTATAAATGTTAATTTTTTTATCACATCCTACATCATAAAACTCCCATGAAGTGACTCACCAGGGAATGGCTCATGTGACATGAAAACTCCCACCATAAAATAGATTATATATGATGTAAAGTTAAATATGATACAGAAGTGGCTGTACCATAATTCATGTCACAGGTCAAAGCTATCAATAGCATGATACTGCATCCTACTAACTGCAGATTCAGTCAATGGTGCAGCGTACAGATAGTACAATGCTATAGAGAATCTCAACCAGAGCCTCTAACTGAATGTTATATTTTAATTTTACCCAAGTTCTTTTCTTACATTTTGTTGGGGGGAAGGGGCTGACAACACTATTTATTATGTATTGCACCCCTTTCCCTCTGGTGGTAATACTTGATGGATCTCACATCTATCTGCTATCTACTAGTCAAAATTTGACAATTGTCACTTCTTTCATATTTCAGTCATGATTCATTACTTCATGCTCCACGAACTGCATGCATCTCCTAGGCTGCTGTTTCTAAAAAATGAAAAATGTTATCATCACACCTGTTTGCATCCGAGTTCATCTTCAAGGTACTTTTGTTCAGAGTCACACCAGGTGAGATTAGCTGTCAATGAAGATGCTCGATGCCTTGGTTGACGTTCACAAGTTGGTCTGTGGTAGGAAGTAGTTGTTGTTTGATGATGACTTTGGTCCATCCCCTAAGAACACCTCCTCAAATCCAAGATTGTCCAGGGCTTGCATGTCCATACTATCTTCCTGTATTGGACACAAATAGATCTTGCCTTAGTGATTGGGAATTTGTTTCCAAAGGCGAGGTCTCACTTATTTGTGATTACTGTAATCACTCGAGAAAGAACAAGACTAATGTTTCATAAGAAATGAAAAATCTTCAATTGAGGTATCCAAATCTGGCATAGGTTGAACTTGTAATTTTGCTAAAAGTCTTAAATTGTAAGCCCGTCAGAACTCTAGAGCATGCCCATTAGAAATAACTGATTACTGCAAATAACAGCTACTAGTACTCAAATGGGTCAATAAAACCAAAATAAGGAGTATAAAGAAGCAACTTTCAAAACTACTTGAAGTTTGAAGTTTTTAAGTTAATTTTGTTCCACATTTACAGTTACATCAAAAAGCAATTTATTGTTTTTATTTTGTATACAAGCGTATAAGCGTAGATTACATTGAAGAAGAAAAAAAAAACAAAAAAAAGAAAGGTAAAGATTTCAAAGCAAGTATAATGTGCGAAAAACAGGTACAAAATTTTAAAAATATTTGGTATATGAAACAACTTTAGTAATTACAGTAGTAGTCATATTCCTGAAGTAAAATTCATTGTCTATGATCTCGTCAAATGATTCCCCAAGGGTTGTATGAACCAACCTGAGGTAGTTCTATATGCATTGCCATGGCATCCAACGCCAGGCTATTTCTCCATGAGCTGATGCGGTCATTACGATTACTCTGTGAGAAATCCAAAATTTCCTTTTTCATCTCTTTCTTTTGTTTCCTTATGGTCCTTTGCCTCAGTTGGTAGCAGTGGAACAGCAAAACTGGAAAACAACATGAAATCAATTAAAACCTATATCAGTCAAGGCCAAGAGATATCAAATATCAAACAGTGTTTATGCATACTGCATTTTCTTTTTAAAAACATGCTATGGCATCAATAGAAGTATTTGCTTCTTATGAAATATGCAGAAAAGAGGGCTAATCTGTGATGTCATCAATTAATGAATAGCGACATGTTCCCAAAGTAAACCAGTGATTTTGATTTTTAAAATTTATATCAAATCAAACCCTGTAAGGTGATACCATGTGAAATTTTGTGTACAAAATAAATGGAGAGCTGTTCATAACTAACATCATGGAACAGCCAATTTTTAGTTTGTCCATAACTTTCAAACTTACTTTTTTTCTTCTTTGCCATATTTTCTTAAATCTTTCACTGAATCTGTATCTCCTATATGCTCTTATGACCCCAAACTTGATGCAATGGTGAACTTCTAACTTAATATCATCTGCATACATGTAGGTATATAACAAAATACAAATTCATCTGGATCTGATTTAATCTGGTCATTGTACTGAAAATTAACTCATCTTCTATTCTATCATACACCTACATTGTACAGGTACCATTCAAATCCCCAAAAGTATGAATAATTCAAGTATTCCGGCAAAAAACAAATCATATGTAAACATACTCACACAAAATAAACAATACTGCAGCCCCTCCTACTGCAATGCCGAACCACTCTAAGATGGAGAGTTGATCTGGTCCAGCTGTAGTTAGAGATGGTTGAGTAGACGTGTCCATTGTAGTTGACGGGGTAGGAATAATAGGAGTTGGACTGAGGGATTGAGTTGTGGTAAATGCAGCACCAGATGATGATTCATTGATCAGTGAGATGGAAGACTGTGATGCCTCGGGTAACAATGGAAAGGATGATAACAACAATGATGATGATGATGATGGTGATGGGGATCTAGAAGTTGTTGGCATGGAAACAGATGATGGCATCAATACTGTTGGAGTTGACATGATAAAAGATGCACCCAGTGAAGAGGGTGGTGGAGATGATGAGGATTCCATAGAAGATGGCAAAGGTGACAAGTTTTGTGACATTGTTGGTGAAGAATGTCCAAGTTCAATTGATGTCACTCGCATCTCTTCAGTCGAAACCACTAAGGATGTTGCTCTTAAAGTTTGAGATGCTTCCACTATCACTGAACTTTGTGATGACAACGATGTACTTGACAAAGGAGAAGTTGATGAAGATATCAACGAAGGTGTAATGAATGTGGCCATGAGCTCTGAAGTTATTTCAGAAGCACTGTTAAATGCAGTATATACAGTGAAATCACTTGTCCACATTTGAGAAATACCTGATGGACTTGGAGAGGGGTATAGAGCTGTGGATGGCACTAGATCAAAAGAAGAACCTACTAGGGACGACAATGATGATGATGATGACGATGATGATGATGATGGAGTCGGAATGGATGTAAAAGGAACCAATATTTCCATTGTTGAATTAGGAATGATTATAGTGGTGTACTCAAGCTGCATGGAAGTAGTCACAGTGTTGCTCTCTGTATGCACTATATTTGCTAATATAGTCAGGAGATCTGTATGCAACGATAAAGAAAATTATCATTTAGTATGAGCAAGCCTTTTCTTTTTTAAATCATATTATAACTGCAAGCAATCCCTTCTAAGTTCCAACCAGGCACTGATACAATTTAGATTTTGACAGTGATGTGATAAACAAGAGAAATGAATTCTAGAATGTCACATCTTGTCAAATACTCTTGGCCTGCATTCAATAAACTTCTCAGGCATAAAATTTAAGGACTTTTAAAAATCTTTTTGCCAAGAGAAAAGTATCTAAATCAGGAAGTTTTGATTAGGCTTCTTGACTAATAATTAGTGTCAGTCGGTCAAGCCCAAAACAATTTTGTGGGCATTTATACCTTTAGTGTTACAAACTCCCATAAACATGTACATTTCTGTACAATTTTTTGTGCAATGCAGTTTTAATTTTAACACACATATTGCATAGGTAAATAAAAATGCGGTTGAGTCGGTCAACTTGACCAATTTGACTTTCTAAAATGATGTCATCGGAGCATCTGTTGTCTAAGCTTAGACAAAGTACTTAACGTTTTTAGAATACTGCTGAGCCACTTAAATGAAACTACATGAAATGGAATACGCATGAGGAAAAAACTTACAGATGCAGAATCCTTGCACCCTGTGGCTTCTAAAATCACTGCATGAAGCTCGCCTAGGAAATAATCTCCCTATCAGCAACGCCATCTTGAGTTCACTCAATGACAATGCTTCTTCGTCTCATTAGGGATCATCATATTGCTGATCCGGTAGGAAAATCTGGAAAATAATTAGAATAGATGAGAAGATTACCATAGGTGATGAATTATGCAGTAGACCGACTTGTCAGATGATGATACTGGCCATGCTCTACACAGACTCTAACTGAAAAGGAGTTATTTAATTCATTTCATTGCTGTGCATGCAAAGTTAATAAAGACATGAATTGAAGAAGGGGAAATCATGTTGTACCTACATGTATTTCTCTTCATACACTGCTACTGTACTTCATAGTTGTATTACCAATGTAATTACTGTAGCTGGTCATAGAGCTTTTTTCTCTTTCCTTTCTTTCTTTGCTTGTCATATAGTGAAAGAGATCACACATTCTCACAATTCTAGCTTTGAATGTCATGATGCATTTGTAACTTACGTCTTTGAAAAATAACAAGGTTGGCAGGATTTTGTAATCACTCTTTGCTATGATTAAGAACACAGATTATAAAAAAGAAGATTAAAATGGAAACAAAATGATCAGAATCATGTTCATAGACCCCTACAGACATTAAAAAATTACTAGAAACCGCTAAAGTTTGTAATTTAAATAGCATTTTAAGGATAATTAAGTGTCTTTCTTCATTTCTGGCAGCGAAGTGTCACTGTTAACCTAGACCGAAGTTTCTGTCTCCTTCGTTCGTTAGCCTAGGGTAGTAAGCACATTTTTTTTTTTTTTTGGTCCTCCAAAATTTTAAAATTTGCACCCCCCCCCCAAAAAAAGGTAAAAATTACGTGATTTTACATGATTTTTTTCTCAAAGGGGGTGGATCCGCCACTGATTTTACCTGATGCATATCCGATACATCTATTATTACCGGTATTGAAAATTAGGCCTACTATACTACAAGGGTTCCACTTACCAACTTGACTGAAAAAATGCGTTTAATGGTCCCTTTTCAGGAAATTATGGGTCAAAATCGACATCCATGTTGAAGATCTTGCAGCAGCATTTTAAACTTTCACCTGCGCTTGACGTCATCTAAATCTCATCCCTTCTAGAATTTAGTCTATGCTCTAGGCAAATTGATTATGAAGGAAACACTGTGCACGAGCTACGAGTTCGTATTGACGTTATCACAGTGGAATGATGTATAGTAGCCTAGGCCTAATTTTCAATAACAGATGCATTGGATATCCGATATGCATCCGGTAAAATGGAGTATTTTGGAGTAAACTGTAGACCTAGACCTCCTATCTATTAAAAATCAAATGGCCAAAATGCTTGAACAGGAGCAAGCGCCTATGTATGGTTGGCTTCTGTCTCTAGCTAAAGAGAGGAGCCGACCCTACCCAAATCAGAGGCTAACGAATGAAAGAGACCTAGAGGTCTAATACTGTTAACCCAGCCCTCGCCTCGACCTCTCGCTCGCTCGCCTGTACTGCTCCTCTGATCCTGTGACGTGAGTGTGACTGTAAGTGTAACACCGCTCACAAATCAGACACAAATAGCAGTAGGTGGGCGTGTACCGAAATCAATCGGATTATAAACATAGCAAAATACAATTAATATACAAAACTAAAACCCATATCGTAACTTACAAACACCACACTAAGTCAAATGTATGTCTGCGATCTGCCCATATATATCTGATATACTCTGCTTTTATTTGGAGCTTACCCTTCCATCGGCCACAAAAAGTAACGTACTAGACCTCTATCGGGAGTAAATCTCGGCTGGATGGGCGGGGTCAAAGTTCAGTGAACCGTAGACTCGACTAGACTACATGTATACACTCTGCAATCTGCATGCAAAGTTACCCACGAGCTATGCACGTTCATTATCATGTAATATACTTGTACCGTACCAATACATTAGTATTTAGTGATGAATCTTCATCATCATTTGTAATTAAACGAATTTCGGAATTGTAGGCTACCCATCCCCCATCCCCCTCCATGTCCCATGATCCGCTTTGATTTGTACGAGTCAGGGGTGTTGGAGGGGGTGTTGGAGGGGGGGGGGGGGGGGGGGGGGGGGGTACAGGGTATATATGCAGCTAGGCACGTAGCCACGGTTGACCTTTGTTAGACCCCTTCCCAGGACGTCGATCAATTACATGTATGTACCCCCCAAAAACAAAAAACAAACAAACAAACAAACAAAAAAAAACCATCAAACTCTGACTACGGCCCTGTATGGGGCTAAATGATATAAATTTGTAATTGTAATTTATACATGTTTATATGCATGTAGTCGAGTCTGGAGCATAGCTACTTAGTCCCTGTGTTAGTGTCGTTTACTGGTGATGATATACACCGGCCCTTAATTCTCGACCCATTCAAATTTCTGCAAATTGGCTGCAATAAAAAAAAAAGATGTTGCTTTTTGTCTTGATGATTGAAAATAAAATATATGAGACCTTTATCAAAATGTAAAAGCCAACATTGACATGACTTTGGTCTAATAGCCCCAGTGTGAAAACATGGTGTGGATGGTCTGGACGGCTTAAGTAAATCAAGAAAACATATCATTTCCTCATATAATGCAATATCCCCAGTGGCGTACCTGGGGTACTCCGTCAGGGGGGGCAAGCGACCGAAACAAACAAAAAAGGCGATGCTAATTTTCACTTCTGGCGAGCGAGCGAGCAAAAAAAAATCTTTAAGTAACGTTTGGTATATAAACTGGTATTGTTGCAAGTTGGGGGTGGGAACATTCACTTGTTAGCGACGTTAATTTCATTTTTTTTGCAAACGAGCGTAGCGAGCAAGAAAAAATCACTTCTTTTTCAATAATTGCCACTTAAACTTGGTTCAATTGTCCCATGCAGGGCGCGGGAACAATATTGTGTTTAGGGTGATTTTATACCCATCTTAGCTAGCGAGCGAAAATACATCTTTCTCTCAATGAATTGCTATATAAATTTTGTTTCATTGTTGCAGGTCGGGGGCGGGCACAATCGTGTTTAAGGCAATGTCAATCCCATTTTGGCGGGCAGGCAACCCCCTACATTTCTCTTTTTAATGATATTGTAGCAGGTTAGTGGTGGGCACATAATTCCACGAGCTAGCGAGCGAAAAAAATCACTTCTCTTTTATAGGGAAAATATGGTACATAAAACTTGGGTTCATTGTTCCATGTCAGGGACGTGATTATTAAAAGCGGTGTTATTTCTATTTTGGCGAGCGAGCGTAGCGAGCGAGCAAAAAAAATCGCTTCTCTTTTATAGGGAAAATATGGTACATAAAACTTGGGTTCATTGTTCCATGTCAGGGACGTGATTATTAAAAGCGGTGTTATTTCTATTTTGGCGAGCGAGCGTAGCGAGCGAGCAAAACAAAATCACTTCTCTTTTATAGGGAAAATATGGTACATAAAACTTGGGTTCATTGTTCCATGTCAGGGACGTGATTATTAAAAGCGGTGTTATTTCTATTTTGGCGAGCGAGCAAAAAAAATCACTTCTCTTTTATAGGGAAAATATTGTACATAAAACTTGGGTTCATTGTTCCATGTCAGGGACGTGATTATTAAAAGCGGTGTTATTTCTATTTTGGCGAGCGAGCGTAGCGAGCGAGCAAAATTTTTGTAATGATAATTGGTTCATAAATTTCAGATTTGTTTGTTGCAGGTCAGGGCTTACACGATCATGTCTAAGGTGATGTTAATTCCGTTTTGGCGAGCACGAGCACACCAAAACTTCTTTAAAAAAAGTTTGGTACATAATTATTAACTGGTTGTTGCAGGTTGGGGCGGGCACGATAGCGGTGTCAATGCCATTTTGGCGAGCGAGCATAGCGAGCAAGCAAAAAAAAAAATTCTCTTTTAATAGAAATTAATAAATAAACTTGTTTTTATTGGTGCAGGTCAGGATGGACGCAATCGCGTTTAACGCGATTCAATTCCTTTTTGGCGAGAGGGCGAAAAAAACTCTTCCATTTTTAATGATATTGTTGCAGGTCAAGGGTGGGCACAATTGTTTCCAAAGCAATGTCTATTCATTTTATTCGCGAGCGAGTGTAGCGAGCGAGAAAAATGAATTAGTCTCTTTTAGTAACATTTGGTACATACATTGTGTGTTATTGTTGTCATGATTGCAGGTCGGGGCCCGTCGGGGCAGGCACAATTGTATTCTAGGCAATACTAATCCTTTTCTTTTTTCAGGGGGACGCGCAAGTGAAAACATTTAATACAAAATAGGCTAGCAAGCAGTTCGCGCCAGCGAAGAGTTTCGAATTTGTTATATCACTTATATTTTCCTATTTTCATTTGTCTTAATTTTTCAGGGCCGTATGCGGAATATTTTTCTGGTGGGGGAGGGGGAAAGATGCGTTAAAAGTTTTCGAAGAATCTCAAAAGCAAAAGGAGTGAAGGGAGTTCGAGCGACCGAACTGGTCATGAGGGTACTTTTGCATTTTCAAAAGTAGAATTGAAGGATTTGGTATAGGCCTACATTTTCAGGAAAAAAACTGTACGTTTTCAAAATATCTGGGGTTAACTGCCCCCCCCCCCCTGGTGCGTACGGCCATGGTCTTTTTTTTTTAATTTCTCCATTATTTTCCTTTCCTTTTCTTTTCCCTTTTTCTTCCTTTTCTCTTCTTTTTCCTTTTTTCTTTCCTTTTCCTTTTTTTTCTTTTTTTCTTTCTTTCCTTTTTTTCTTCCCTTTTCCTTTTTTCTTTTTCTTTCCTTTCCTTTCTTTTCTTTTCTTTCCCCTTTTTCTTTTTTTCTCCTGGAGCCCGTCAGGGGGGGCACTCTGCCCCCCCTGCCCCCCCCATAGGTACGCCAGTGAATATCCCCCCCTGCTGGGAAAAAGTCTTTACTGAGAGTTGGGTATAAGAGCTCTTTTTTTTTTTTTGTCCCAGAAATTGGAAAATTATAACGACCGATATTTCGTTCAGGAGGGGGGGGGGGGGGGGGGGGGGGGGGGGGGGGGGGGGGGGGGGGGGGGGGGGGGGGGGGGGGGGGGGGGGGGGGGGGAGGGGGGAGGGGAGGGGAGGGGGGTAAGGTCAGTTTTTGTTTCTTCACCCTTTAGCACAAAGTTATAAATTATATATATTTTTTTTTTTTTAAAACACTTGAACAAAAAATGAGGGGGGGGGGGTAATAACTCCCCCCCCCCCCCCCCCCTGCGTACGTATGCGCCTGGTGCCAGGAGACTACATGGGACTTCAGCAACATAAGAACACCATAGGTACATGTATCAGGTGATCAGGTCCAGATACAGCAATGCCGATGTTATTTCACCTATAAGTTCGACTAGCAGCTCAATTAATTGGATTTTTTTTTTTTTTTACGTATACATGTATATGTTTGATGTTTAATTTTGGGGCGATCACACATCTACTACAGTGACAACTGCTCAAGGTTTTATTTTGTAAAAAGGATAAGGTTGGGGATGTCATTGGGTTTTAGGTTAGGTTTAGGGTTATTTAGGAATTTGTTTGGTGTAGGAAATTACCAAGGATCATAGTCACAGCGCAAGACCACTTGTCATACAACCTTTTACCCATCTTCTATCACATTTTAAACTAATTGTACTGCTTCAGTTTGGTCTGTATACTAATTATTCAGTTTAACCTGAACCCCCCCCCCCCTCGAGTCTAAAATCATGTTCAACAAAGAGAAGGTTATTTTGATGATGCATTTATCATACCTGCAAACATTTGAAAATAAGAAATCTGTACCCTTAGCGGGGGTCTGGGGGCGTAGCCCCACAAGGGCCAGTGTCCCTGCGTGAGTACACTACAGGCATACATGTAGGTGTGTATTGAACAGGCGATTTCACGGCCTTACATTGGCCATGTATGGCAGCAGCAGTGTAACTGGCAATACGCGGTAAATCTGTTTTTTTAAAGCAAATACACATGCCCTGCTCGATTGTGCAGCCATTCAATAATCAACGCACACAATTTTTTGTTTAATATAACAAATAATTGGTCATTCAAAATTTTGAATTATTTAGATTAATTTGGAACAGTTAGCAGGTATGATGTATGTCTATAACAAATGTCAGTTTTAATTTAAGTAAAATATTGGCCTTTAATTTTTTTAGGTGGGAGGGGGGGGGGGGGGGGGGTGGGGGAGCCCCTCAAATAAGTGATGCAATATCAACAATCCCATTTTAAATTTAGTCCATTGTTATCTGTAATTGTTTCTAAATCTGGTAATTAAACCCAGTAAAAACTCAGCTGTCCTATCTCATTACAAACACCCAATAAACGCATTCATCATACCAGTCACTTGCACTTTCTTTATTACTCCTGTTCATCACCTCCTTCATCAAAAACCAATATTTTTACAAACACATTTTGCAATATAATACTGCATCAAAAATATTTTGTCAAGTCGTGTATAGCTTTCCAACTGTTACATGCTTGCCGACATGAATATCTCATTGTTTTCTTTAATTATACATGTACTAAAATATCGAAGCTAAATTATTAAAGGGCAGTCCAACCCTTGCAATTAGTTGATTTGTACGAAAATTGATTTGTATAAAAGCAGTAAAATAACAAACAGAATGGCAAAAGTTTGAAATGAATCGGACTAATAGTAAGGAAATTGTGAATGTTTGAAATATGAAATCACCAAGTCTTTGCGAATCTCAAATTGGTAGTTTGGTCAGTGGGTAACTCTCCCATTTGCTGTATACAAAATATCTACAGGCTAAATCACACACTGCTATTTGTTGAAGACAACCTGACATTAGGGGCCAAAATGTTTTTCTCGTAAGTTCCATCTCCCTTGGGGCATAGTATTATAGGTCCTATAATAGAGACTCCTGAGCAATGAATATTTCAGAAATTTAAATTTTAGTCATTTTATACGTTTT